GCCTAGCAGCGCTGGATAGGCTAATGTTTTCGGCGCCTACGATATTTCTTCTCACGACCTGTAGCAAAATCAACATGAAAAATTCATCCGCATTTATTTTTCGTGTGGAACACAAAAAATCAAATTTCAGTCTTATTTTACATTTTTTTCATTCTTAGGAATGTCTAAATTCAGTTAAACTAGCAATTCCGTATTATATTTATAAATCTTTATAACATTATACAAAAATTAGATTTTTCTTAAAAATTGAAATTTTGCCGGGAATGGGGCTTTAAGTTAATACTTTGAAAATGCCATCATACAAAAATGGCCTTCCCTAGATTTTAAATATTTTTGGTTGTTCAGACTTATGCAACACCTTTATTTTGTTCTAAAGATTATGATCAAATGAATATTCATTCAATTTTTTTTTCAGGTGCGATCCAGATTTACTGTTGATGATTACAGTCATTACCTATTTACGCCTCGTGACTTGACACAGTGGGTGCTGGCTCTTCTACGGTACGACCTCAATGCTTCAATGTCTGAGGGTACTAGTGACTATGTCCTTGAGGTGTGGGCCTATGAGGCAAGGAGGCTGTTCCGAGATCGACTTGTTGGTGAGAAGGGAATGGCAGCATTCGAGAGCATCTTGATGGGAGTTCTCCAAGCGGATTGGAATGCTGGACACATTTTAGATAGTCTCAATGGTGAGTTGTTGACTGCTTCAGATTTTTTCTCTTGAAGACATTTAATGATTGATTCATTGATTGATGGAATTCAAATTAAAATTTAATTTCTGGAAAAACATAAAAACAAAGTATGATGTTGCCTTCCAAGGATTGCCAAAATGAAAAATATCAAGTTCTCCCCTGTGAGCATCATTACAAATTAAAAGTCATAACTATAAAGCAATTATTAATACCACTCGTACAACACATACAAATAAATGCCAATTGTGATTAAAGATGATTGCTATACAAGAGTAAGTGTGATATAACTAAAGGCAGCAATCTCAATATTCTGTACTGCCATCCAGTTTTTGTTCCTTCCAACTATTCCTATCTCACTGTTCATTATGCCCCATAACTTTCTAGATAATTACTTTGTGACGTGGGGAGCAAGGGCTGAAGCGGGCAGCAGTGCAGGTGCTCCTCTGCCCCCGAATGGAAAAGCTCTTGGACGGCTCAGCTCAAAGGATTTGAAGGAAGTGATCGAGAAAGGTGTTCTTGATTATGGTAAGATATAAATTTTAAAACTTTTGATTTGTGGAATTTAAAAGGCTATTTTGTGAATGAACAACAGTGAAATGTAAATGAAGATGATAGTGTGGTATTTCTTTATTACCAGCTTTGATTTGCTGTATGTAATTTGAATATTTAAAGATAAAAATTCCCAATAAAATTTTTTATATTTTAAAAGTGAAATGTAAATGGGATGATTATGTGGTATTTATTTTTTACCCGTTTTGATCATAAGCTAAATTTTTAATAAGTGAAAGTCCCAATCAAAACTTTATATTTTCTAGGCCGTGAGACTCGCGAGTTGGATCTGCTTATATTCCGTGAGGTTCTTGAACACATTGCTCGTGTTGACAGGGTTCTGACCCAGCCTGGGGGCTCTCTTCTTCTTGCTGGGCGTAGTGGAGTTGGCAGGAGGACTGCAGCTAATCTGGTGTCGTTTATGCATCGCGCACAGCTCTACACGCCAAAGATGTCCAGGAACTATGGATTGAAACAGTTTAAAAATGATCTGAAGAATGTAAGTCTACTTTAACAGGGATGTTATGTATGTAAATGTCAGAATAATACAAATAAAATGTACTGTGAGCAGATGTAATTGTTTTTTTTTTCTTGAATACTTACCTTGGTGAACCTATGTATTTTAAGTTCCCTTTTAGGACATAAATGCCTAAGTTTCCTTTGAAACTTACCTCTCGAGCATAAAAGAAAAATAATGGACTTGCCCTAGCTTGCCTATATATGCCCTGCGTGAATGAACAATATCCTCATTTCCTTCTCGCTTTATCTCATATATAGTGCGCTAAGGTGAATGATTCCTTTATTTGGCATGTTTTTGTCACTAATTCTACAGTTTCGCTTGGACTATATAGTTCATCATAAGAAATGGCTGGTTTCTTTGTGCTTTTCTCTATAAAATAAGTAAGAGATAGTATCTCGCTATATAAATATTTTTCTGGGTTCACTCACTAAACCTTGTTCTGAGGCTGTTGTTGTTTATTATGTTTATTATTATTTCAGGTGATGCAGTTGACAGGCATTGAAGGAGAGCAGGTGGTACTGATGCTGGAAGATCATCAGTTTGTGTATCCCCAGTTCCTTGAGATCATCAACAGTCTGCTGTCATCTGGAGAGGTTCCAGGATTATACACACCCGAGGAACTTGAACCCCTGCTGGCGCCGATAAGAGACAGGGCATCTGAGGAAGGGTTTCGAGGGGCTTTGGCAAACTATTATGCGTCAAGTAGGTGGTTAAGCTACAGTCACTTTTTGTCTCCTAGAAGTCTCATTCCTTTCAATTCTTTCTGCCTTTCACCATAATGATGATCTTCCAGCATCAGATAATTTTTAATGCTTATCTTAATATTTTTATATCTCAAAATACCTTTTAAATTATGTGCTCATTTATTGATATTTACACATTTTTCTATATTTCAAAATTTATCTTTCGATTTTTTATCTTTTTGAAGAATTTTATATTGTAAGTATTTGTGTTTTTCTCGTGAAGGGCCTCCACTCGACAGTGATTGATTTTACTTTTGGAGTGTCCTGTCTCTGTTTTTTTTTTTGTTTTTTTTTTGTACTTTTACTCTCATTATAATCATTTTATTTTTTTTTGTACTTTTGTGATTGTTCTTTGCCATTTCTGTTTATGTACATTTTAATTTTTTGAGACAAATAAACGAAATGAAATGAAATGAAATAATGTAATGTAGTTAGACTTATGTAACACTTTATATAGAAGTCTCTAAGCGCTTAAGGTTTTGAATAGCTTGTTCAGTAACTCGCTTCTTCCCTAAGGGTCTCTTCATGTCTGAGCTACCTGCTAAACTGGTGCCAGCTACTCTCATCTGTCCACCTGTATATACTTTGGTCTACTTGCTTTAACTTTTAACTTGTTTTTGCTTTTTTACTAGGAATTCAAATCAATTTGCATATTGTCCTGGTGATGGACTGTGCAAATCCTATGTTTGCTGTCAACTGTAAAAGTAACCCTGCCTTCTACAAGCGCTGCTCGGTCCAATGGATGGAAGGATGGAGTCAGAGAAGCATGGAAAAGGTAAACAAACAGCAATTAGATTTCTTCTTTTCCCCTTTTTGCAATAGTTCCATTTACCTCATCACTTGAGGAATGCTGTTAGTGATAATCAAATTTATGAATATTCCTTACTATCAGATTCCAAAAGACCTTTTGACAAGACCGATCAAGAATGATGACCAAGTGGCACTGACTGCGAAAGAGAAGAAGAAACACCGGAGGAAACTCTCAGGTGGAGATGAACTGGTGAAGAACTTCTTAGAGATTCACAAGTCAAGTGATCATCTGCATGCCACTCCAAGACGTTACATGACATTCCTGCATACGTACCGAGCTGTGTACCACAAGAAGAAGTCAGGTGTGGAGAACAAAAGAACTCATCTGAAGGTATTGAATGTCCTACAGTATTTAAACTAACTGTCACACATTTTTATGTGCGCATTCCACCCCCCCCCCATATTATTACCCTGTAATTTATAGTGCAGTACGGTATTTACTCTAGTGTTTTATTTACGTAAGTGATTGAAAAAGGTAAACAATACTGGCTAATGTGAATAAGTTACCATAGAAATTATTTCGTGAATACAATAGAATACATACCTCTTTGAGACAAAAAAGTAACTAGTAATTGTCTCAAATTGTCATATATATGTTAATTTTAGGCTGGTGTGTCAAAGTTAGAAGAGGCTAAAAGAACAGTAGCCGAGCTAAAGACAAAAGCTAATGAGCAGAGTAAGCTGCTAGCTGTGAAGCAATCAGAGGCTGATGCTGCCCTGGAGCAGATTGAACGCAATATGCAGGTAAGAGGGCGTATGCCTGGAAAGATTAGGAAGTGTCTCCTGCTACATTGCTTCCGTTCGAATGCCCACCTGTGCCAGATTAATATATTTATGGTGTTATATCCACGTAAGAAAAACTGACAGTGCAGAAGGTTGTAGCACTTCCATAGTATTTACCATGGGTCTTTGTGCTTACTTACCAGGGCAGGGCTTATTTATAACTTTTTATAACTATCACTTATTACTTATCTTCTTTGTCTGCTTATAAATATATGGTACCTGCACACATAGTTTGATTTCACTCTATTGAAGAAAACAGTAATCTTAGTAGGATTATCTCAGGAAGGCCTTTTGACATTTAGCAGGCTTTCTGTGTAACATTTTGTCTTCTGTGAATCAAGGTTTAGTCAGCTGACTTGAATTTAATTTATTTACTGACAGCTCAATAATTCACTTTTTTTTATCATTATAATCAGAGTACCGGTGAGCAAAGAAAGGAGATAGAAACACTGCAGAGCAAGGCGGCAGAAGAGAACAAAAAACTGGAAAAGAGAAAGATAACCATTGAGAAGGAGTTAGCAGAGATTGAGCCAAGAGTGAGGGAAGCAAAGCAAGCGGTTGGTAGCATTAAACCAGAGAGTCTCTCAGAAATCAGGGCTTTGAGAGCACCACCTGAAGTGATAAGGGACATTCTTGAGGGTGTGCTCCGTCTTATGGGTACTTTCGATACGTCTTGGGTGAGCATGAAAAGGTATGTATTCTTGTTTTTTTTCAGTTAAAGTGACATTTTCGATTGTTAACATACTTCATGATCAACTATTCATCCATCTATTACTAATGCAAAAGTTAACATTCTTATCTTCCCATCTTATGAATTGCTGAGATACTGTACATAATATTTACCTGTATGCTTTTTTTGGGCGACTCAGTGGCTGAGTGGTAAGGCAGGGGCGCTGTTAATGACAGCCGTAACATCGACGCTGGTTTGAACTGCTCCTCTCCCAGGGTTTTGTTGGTAGAATCAATTCTTCGTGGATAAGGATAGAAGTTCCAGTATATCCATCTGGCTTGTGTTCACCCACTGCATCTTTCAGAATAGTAGCTGGTTACCCCGATGCTTTAGTTAATTTTAGCACCTGTCATTGTGGAATTATGTGATTAACTAAGCGCCTCTCTACGCAATCAGCACAACGACGGCTGCCAGTTCTGGGCTATTCTCCTACCTTTAACTGTTCTATCAAAAAACATGTAAAAAAAGAACTTTATACCGTGTCATGCTATTTACATTTTGTGTTTGAATATGTTGCAGTTTTCTTGCAAAGCGAGGTGTAAAGGAAGATATATCCACATTTGATGCAAGGAAGATCACTCCAGAGATCCGTGAGAGTGTAGAAGAACTACTGGTCAAAGACTCATTCTCACAAGAAGTAAGTCTTCAGACCCTTATTCTCGTAAAGTATCGAGTCTCACTCTTACGATATTATTACTAATTTTCCCATCATTCTCACATACAAAAAATTCTTGCATGAAATTCTCATATACATCTCTCAACATTTTTTACTTAACATCACGTATATTATTCTCAGTAACATTGTCGCATAAGATTCTCACTTACATTTTCTCATAATATACTGACATCACATAGTATTCACACAGCCTTCACGAACACATGTAACATTTTAATAGTAGATTTTAATTCTTCAATCAATTTTTTTACAGAAAGCTAAGCGTGCAAGTGCCGTTGCTTTGCCACTAGCAATTTGGGTAAAAGCTAATGTAATGTACTCACATGCCCTAGAGAAGATTGCCCCTCTTGAAAAAGAACAAGCAGAACTTCAGAGGTA